AGCAAAAAAAGGTTGAGAACCACTGATTTAGTAGACCCAAATTCTTCTGTTGTATACTCATTTACATTTTCACACTGCTGGCATAGGTGATGCAGTAGGAGTCACAAATTATTATTCTTTAGTCTGAAAACATAAAAATTATTAAAGATTTTTATTTTAATCTTACTTTTTCCTGGATTCTTCCTCTTTTCACGTTTCACTTTCCTGTTGTGTTCTCGCACTTTCTTCTCAATTTTATAACGTTTCCGACATGATATCCTCTTGCTTGTCTTCTCTGGAAATCAAGAATTCAACTTAAATTTCTATAGCATATTCATTCAAAGTACTGGATTTCACATAAAAGACTAATCAAAATTAATTCATGCACCTTATATGTTTTGAAGATAATTAAATATATATTACTGTTATTGAAACATAAAACCACATTTATTAAACTTTCCAGAAGATATGAATATTTGAAATATTCTTTTATTCATGCAAGTAAATAAATAGTCTACCAACCAGACTGAATCCTGAATGTACAGACACCCCAGTCATCAATGTAAAATATTCTGTTTCATTCTGCATTTAATGTCAAGGCCTACAGTGAATTTTACAGCTCTTTTCAATCATAAATGAATACAAACCACAGAAATCCACCAATTCACAATTAAACATGGCATTAACCGACAGTTTATAAGTCAAATGTGTGTAAATAGATTATATGCATTTTATGGATCCCAAGCACTACAATGTGGAACAAGGTGAGTTACAATAAACCTAAACAAAGAATTCCAGGCAGAACTCATAAAGCCTACTTTCCTATGGTACTGACTTTCATGAAGATTAGGCTTTAATTTAGATAGAAAGTTTGTGTTCAAATTCTTTTATGTTTGGTTTGAGGTTCTGATAGCATGACTGTCAATAATACTATCTTCCGGGTTATGCTGCCATACAGTCTGGTAGATGCTAAGGAGACATTTTGGAGGACTGTCATGCTTCCATCTGCAGGGTCCAAGAGTAACAGCACGTCCAGCTCAAACATATCAGTATCTTCCATGGACCAAATCATAAGACACGCAATACAGACTGAGCTCCATTCCAGCAATATGAACGGGCAGGATAGCTTCTGCCTAAGCAAGTCAAGGAAACCTCTCATCTGCTCCCAGAGAGAATGTAGAAAGCCTCTCTTGAAGGATTTCTTTTAATGTGGTTCTCCAAGCAGGCCATTGCTCCCATTGTACAATGCCCGTTTCAAAGCACCCATCTGCCCATCCCGTCTTTCCTGGTCTCTTCCTTTCATTTCCCACCATATTCTGCCTATAGCCCATTACTTACCATACCCATTTATACTTTCTACTGGTCTTTCTTGCCACTATTTTCCCTACCTCATCCCATATGGGCTCATTCGGCTTCTCCCTTGATTATCTTAGTCTTTGACCCTGAATATGTAGCCAGTACCTTCCTCCCAAATGTGTGTATACTTCCACCAACTAAAAGATGAGACATCCTAGAAGAGGGTACACTTTACATTTTCTGCCTACATTAGTTTCTTAAAAAGAAAGAACACAAGTACAGTGTCGCTATGTATGTTTCCCCTTTCAATTTTTTAACAAACGGTGCGCTTTTCATGACTCGTGTGTAGTCAATTTGTACAAGTCACCTTAAACATTTGTACACCTCAGTAACACTACCGAGACTTTACCGTCTGATTCCAGACTTGTACCCAAAATGATCACTTTACCACTCCTTATACAATTTATATTCAAAAGACGGTTGAATATACTATTGACCTCCGCGAAGTCACAACCGTCATCTTATTCTTGGATTATTAACGGCACCAAATTAAAACTGAAACTGATCGTACATACAAATCAAATATTATTACAAGCCTAGCTTAATGCAGTTTAAACTTGCTGTAATCTTACTAAGACATAATTTGGCCATGCTTCGCTACACGTGTTCAGCAGAAAAGTGGTTCGAACGGTCCAAACCACATCACATTACACCACAGGGCCATAGAACATTTGACGGTCAGAGGCCCAGAGGCGTCAGAGGCATGGAAATACCTCTCCAGCAACAGCCACAGATTACCAGCGATCAGCTGTGGTCGATATCGTGAACATCGTGAAGTGGCTGCCAACTAAATTTACATCGAACAATGTTAATCTGGGATGTGGCTCCGTGTAGTCTGGTATAGGTTTACTGACGTTTCGGAGAAATCTACTGCGTCCCTCTTCAGAGTCAAGTACGTAGCCCCGAAACTCTGTAAACTTCTACAAGACTACACAGTGTCACATCCCAAAAGATAATATTTTTTCTTTGTCACAGCCTTAGACGGTCACTTAAATTTAAATTATCCATTCTGCTTCACAAAGCAAAATACAGTACATCCAAAATTCTACCAGACTACATGGTGGCACATGCCAGACAATGGTACTCTTCGTATCGTATGTTCATTCGTATGTTATTGAGACATCATATCACCGATACAGGAAAAGGCGTTTTCTATTAAATAGTTATCATTACAGGAAGACGAACATCAAAAACATTTGTATAGTGCAGGCCTACTTTCAGTACATGGCCTACGTCGATGCTGTAGATTAAACTTTCTAAACAATGGCTACTACCCAGACATATAAGGTCTTTGGCCGGAAGTTAGGAGGCTTCAACTCAATGGGGGTTGAAAAGTCGTAAATTTTTGTGTGATGTTGTTAAGATAAAAACGGCTGTACCTTAAAAATGTCTGATCTATTTAAGTCTGCAATAGGGTATTTTAGTAGTAGTAATGCGTCTGGTGCTGAAAATGAGTTTATAGGTCAAACGGTTGAAGTAGGAAACGTAAAATTAAGGGTGAAGAAAGTAATTGCTGAAGGTAGGATTGATATCAATATTATTTTGACATCCTTAACATTTATAAATATAGTATTGTATTGAGTTTGTTTGAAGCACTTGAGCATATGTAACATCATAATATACGGCAAGGAAATTCTCTGTTTTTATACCTACTACAGCATTTTTGTCACGCATGACATTAAATTGACAGCAGCTGTCAAACTTTCGTTTCCTTACAGCTTTCACGAAAGGATTTATAAACATAAAATTGTTTCAGGTGGATTCGCGTTTGTATTTATGGCACAGGACCCCAATACAGGGAAAGACTATGCTCTAAAGGTTAGTGATTCGACAGTGTGAAAGTAATTATTGCTGTTAAACACAGAAGATCCTAACAAATCAAAAGACTGCCTTGAAGACCATTGTTTAACGAGATAAATAGTAATATTTTGTATTCACTCATTATGTTCAACTATTTAGAATTATAAGAACGTTTGTTTAAGATTATCAGTTACTTAATTAGGGGTTAAAATAAAAATTGGCTCTAAGTAATATTTCGCTAGTCCTTATTGAGATCAAGTCACTGGGCGATATAGTTTGACGCTTGCGATGGACATTCACTGTGGATAACATGACAACAATTTTTCTTTTTTCTTTTTCAGTCTGAAAGTAAATACTGAGAAGGTTCTACAAATAGACCTTGATTAAGTTATGACACCTCCTTCATCAGTTTGTATTGTTTTTCAATTAGCTATCATTGATAACAGAAATCTTAAGGTCATAAAGTGTGAAGACCAAAGCCCTCGGAATCCAAGCCATGTGTTAATAACCTGTTGTATATTTTATTTCAGTCTATTGATCTCAGAGAGCTCTCTTGATCATTCATAAATTAATATTTACATTGTAGTTGGCTCTCTTATGACAGAGCCTTATCCATTCCTCTGTGTCCTCCCATAGTATTCCTCTTATGTCTGTGTGTTATTAACAGATTCTTGGAGTTGTGTATAAGGATTCCACTTTATTTCTTCTACCTTCAGGTGGCGCATACACTCATGGAATATAACAGTGTGAGCTGCCTGTTTTAATTTTTACTGCAGCTGTCCTGTCCTTGTTTCGGGAATATCCTTTTATTCTTATTTCAGTGCTTAATGTTGTACCCACACATGAAGCTGTGCCCATATCTTTACCAATTCAAAAGCACATATATACTCTCCTACTTTTATTTTTATTGCAGCAGTTACTGACACATATATTTTCTTGTTTTTAAGGTTGCTGAGGCGTTTTGATGCTTTTTTGTTTATACCTCTAATGTTCCACATGGTAATAGCTACGTTTTTGATCAGAGTAGTCTTTGTGTGTTGTGCATTATTGTTAGCCATTGTATTCATCCAGTTTGTTTCATTAGACCTGCAAGTAATTTGTTCCCCTGAACATGTTACCACTATTTTCTAGAGTAGACCACTGACAAGGCTGCCACCTTCAAGCTGTTTGGCCCAGCTTCTTGGTATGTTGCCCGCACCATGAAGGTTGCCTTGTCCACTTTGTCTATCAGATAAGTTGAGTCATACTTTGACGTCTTACTGCTCCCCAGGTGACAGTTTAGAAATTCAGATTTAGACCTACCCCACTTCATTGAGTGAAACACTGTTTTTGATGGGTTCTTCTAACTTACAATTTCCTATTGTCTTGTAACAGGCATAGCTTCCCTAGCATACTAGCATAACTGGTTTATTGGGTACTGGGCCCCTTGACTATATCAAGAGATCAAGTCTTATGAATGCCACTGCTGAATTTCTTTAACAAAATTTCACATGGAGAGTTCTGTAATCAGGGACATAATAATGTTGTGTAGTCTTGTGAAAGTCAACCATGATTACAGAGGAACATGTTGCTATCATCTTGAAGGCTAAATAGTAAGCCAGGCTGCCTGCTGCATGCTTAATTCTGGTTTCTTTATGGGCTTATTCTTCATCCCTGAAGATGGAGGTGACATGTTCCTCCTAAACATTTGTTGGCTGTCACCATGTCTCTGCAAAGTTGCTGCTTGAGAACCTCTAATCCTACGTCATGTTACATGTTTAGAGGCTTTCTAGCGAGGTGATGTCACAAATGTAACTCTCTCTGGAATGTGAATAAATAGAAGTCTGTAATACTTCAAATGAAAATGAAGGGCCAAAGTAATTAGAAGGAATAGTAACCACTGTTTGAAAATGTATAAATTTCAAAAGTATATAATATGTGAATATTCATAATTAATATATTTAAAGTATGAATTAAAAATAAATTCAAAATTAACATCTAGTACATCTAGTCTAGCCTAGGTTGGTTGCAGTAGATGGTATCTCTGAATTTGTTGTTAGTCATGTGTCATAATAATGACCTTCACTAAATTGTATGAATCAAAAACTTCTGTAATTATGAGAATATTTTATTTCAGAGGCTGATTGCAGCAGATGAAGATTCAAACAATATAATTAAACAAGAAATTAACATTCTTGTATCCTTTTGAAAATTATTTTACAGAATATGTGGTACATTCTCCATCTTATCATCATGTATTGATGTGATGAGTGTCACAGCCACGTGTAATATGTATTTTTTTTAGTATTAGTATTAGAGGGGGTGGGTTTCCCCGTGCACTTAGACCAGTTGTTGGTCCATTGTGCATCCCCCTTTAATTTCTACTGTCTCCATACCCTACTGATACTGGTGCGTGCTATCAGCCCCGTTCAGCCAATGAGGTCGGCCCTCGGTACCTGATATTTCCCCCATCTACCAGAGGGATTGGAAACTACTTGGGTGGGAAATTTGTTGCCTAATTTTGCTCAGAGGTCTCCTAGAGACATGAGGATCTTTTACGTGCCGTAAATCTACAACACGGGACCCACGGATTAAAGTCCCTCCTGGAGGACTTGTTCCCTGAATTTTTCCGCCCTTAAAAATTCCACGACCTCCGCCGGGTTTGAATCTGCGTACCTTGAGTCATGAGGTGGGAATGTTACCCCTAGATTACGGAGGCTGCTTACATGTAATATGTATGTGTATAGTATGCTGTCCCTTGTCCCCCTGTGGACCATTGAGGGAACAGTGGGTATAGTCAGATGGTCAGTCATCACAACCCATGTTGCTCGTCATGCCTTTATGATAATATTTGCATGGCTGTCCGTCGTTTGATCATATTTGTGCTGGGAACCATGAACATTTTAGAGTGAATCCTGTATCGGTATCAGAGTTGGCAGAGCAGAATCTCAATGGCGTACTTCTTGAAATGATCCCTATATCTTATCATTATTGCTAGTCCTTTGGTGTCCTTGAAGTTTGTCTGATGCTTTGCCTCTACTAACACTGGACATCTTGACAAATTTGACTTGGTCCATCCTCGTCCATCAATCTAGTAATACTGTAGAAGATTACTAATGTCGTCCGGTGTGATTGATAAATGTTGCGTTCTTTAATCTTTCATTCTTTACATGTTTTGGTTGGACCGACCACCTTCAGAAGGACATTATTAATACACTGTGATAGCAGTGTCTGTATATATTGATAATGACCGATGACATTGTAATAGTAGTTTCTGTATGTATTCATAATGTCTTTCTGAAGATGGTTGCTCCAACTGAAACATGTAAAGGATGAAAGATTAAAGAACAGAGCATTTATCAATCACACTGGATGGCATTAATAATTTTTTATACTTTAGACATCTTGACAACTTCAAGAAGTATATGAGATTCCATCTAATCTGTTCATCATACCATACCAGCAGCTTGCTTGAGCATAATGGAGTGGCAACCAGTGTGGATTGTGATGACTGAATGTCTGACTCCATTCAGTGTTGAATTTCACCACTGAGATACATTGGTGATGGCAGAGCCCCATCATCGGACTAGAGCATCAGATAAACTTGAGGGACATCACAGTATTGCCAAGTATGACAGCTGTACAGACTGCTTAGTGAAGGAGGCCAGTGAGATCCTGCTAGCCCCAAGTAGTTAGTTATTGTTAGTTATTGGAGAGGGTGGGTTTCCCCATGCACTTAGACCTGTATTGGTCCATTGTGCTTCCCTCTATGATTTCTACCAGTCTCTATATCCTACCGGTACTGGTGCATACCATTAGTCCTGCCCAGCCAGCAAGACCGGCTCTACTAGCTGAGAGGTATCTATAATGCTTCCCCCATCTACCAGAGGTATTAGAGACTGCTGTTGGGCGGGAAACGTCTGTAAATTTGGCTCAGTGACCTCCTTTGGAGATATGAGGTTCTTTTACGTGCCGTAAAGCTACGACATGGGACCCACGGCTTAAAGTCCCTCCCGGAGGACTTGTTCCCTGAATTTTTCTGCCCTTAAAAATTCGATGACCTCCGCCGGGTATTTGAACCCGCATACTACGAGTCATGAGGTGGGAACGTTACCTCTAGACTACGGAGGCCGCTTAGCCCCAAGTAACTCTGACAGGGATATGGCATTCACTCTAATCCATTCATGGTACATGGCCACTGACCAGGAGGCCCATCTGTAAGCATCATAACGGACCAGCAGGCAACGTGGGCTCTGATAACTGCCCGTTTCCATTTATTGTTTCCACAGAAGTTTTGTACGTGGACAGGACATCACTGAATATCAGACTCAGCCCACTGTTCCTTAAGTGGTCCACACAGGACAGCTGATGTGTATTCCATGTTGGTGCTACTGGTTGACCTGAAGTGGAGTGTGACCATTTCCACTATATTCTGAGTTCATAATGATCATTAACAGTTATCATTACAAGCCTAGTAGTGGAAATGTGAAACGTGAAATAATTGCACGATATTGTCTCAGTTTTGATAGTGACAGATGTTCACACACAGATTTGCTTCTTTAACTTACACTTCTTAGAGGAAATTGTCAGGACATCCTAACATCATCCAGTATCTCTCGGCGGCTTATGTTGACAAATCAAAATCAGGTCATGCCTGTGGTGAATATCTCCTTGTTACCGAACTGTGCACAGGTGAGTTATCCTTTGCTTCTTGCAGTTCCTCTTTTCATATGGTCATTAATAGTGTGGCAGTGAACATGTTGGTCATTAATTTAGATGCAAGGAATGATCATGTAATTCACTTGGATTATTCTTGTGAAGAAAACTTTTGACGTGTTTTAATATTGCTTTATCCAAGTCTGTCGAGGATACATAGATATGCCATGGGGTAAGCAGATTCAGTGAATGTTGGGGTTAAATGAAAATGGAAGTTACACAAACGAGTCTTCACTGAAGAGCAATTGAATATTTGTTGCAGTAGATCTGTTACTCTTCTAGCTCAGCGTGATAGAACCAGCTCAATTGGAGACTTACAGGTCTTGCCGGGGGGGGGGCATGCATGCATTCATGCGTGTGTGTGTGTGTGTGTGTATGTGTATGTTTTCCCATCCCTAAGCATTTTAAATGCTTTCATGTAAAGGCAAAAAGGTAAATTTTTCTATGTGGTTATATAATTAAGCACTACACCATGAAGGCGTATGGGGGAGTGGATGTATAGATCCACATTTTCTTAACCTCGGCACTAGCTGGAGGTGAGTGGTCAGTTTCACGCCTCTACCGCTTTACTCCCTGGGGAAAGAGTCCCTGGTACTCATTGGATAGGAGGTTGGGTGGACCAAAGATCTAGTGTGGATGACATGCAGAAGAGAAAATTCCAGACCCTGTCGGGACTCAACCTCCAACTTCTCACCATCCAACCCGTAGTCAGTTTCTATACCGACTACACTATTTCAAATTGCCTTTTAAATTATAATATGTTTCAGAACTATTGATGTCTTATGATATTATACATACCTCTGCATATACATCACCATGAATACTTGTTATGTTTCCAGGTGGAAGTTTAGTGGATGTCTTGACGAATCGCAGTTCTCCACTACCTGTAGATGTAATATGTAGAATTTTCTGGCAGACTTGTAGAGCAGTCCAACATATGCACAGTCAGCAGCCTCCAGTGATTCACAGAGATCTCAAGGTACTGAGTTTCAGATAAAGACAATCTTATTGCAGTTAATATCCTGATTTTTCGTATATAGTTTTAATGTGTGTCGTCCATGAAGAAAAACTGATATAATACTCTCCAAATAAGCAGGCAACCAGTACTTTTGTCTTATGAATTGTGGAAGTTTTTTTGATATTGAGGGAAACCACATGAAATTCCATCAACCCTAAGAGAGAGAAAGACCTGCAGTAGCAGTTGGAATTTTTTATCTAACTTTAAACTGAATTTAACTGAACACATTATCCTTCTAAAAATGTTTGTGAGCTGTGATGTATTTTCTTGCAACCCATATTCATCCCTGCATATTCAATACCATCATTTTCTTTCATCATGAAGTGTTTTTTATATTCTTCAAGAGCTGTTTTTGTTTTTGTTTTCTTTCTCTGACATTCCTCCTCATACCAGTGGTCCAGTTCTTGGGTGTCATAGTTTTATTCCATTTTTATACTTGCTCTCCTAACCACAAACATGATAATTTACTGCCTATACTGTTAGTATAGTTGGTATGGTATAGCGACTGGATACAGGCTGGACAACCGAGGGCTTGGAGTTCGAGTCGTGGTAGGATCAAGAATTTTCTCTCCTCCACTTCATCCAGACTAGCTCTGGGGTCCACCAAACCTCCTCTCCAGTGGGTACCCAGGGGCTCTTTCTCCAAATATAAAGCAGCCAGAGCATGAAACCGACCACTCGCCATACATCCACTCCCCCATACCCCTTCATAAGCATAGGAACAACTTTACTTTTACTATATTAATTCCCTGTAGTGAGAAAATGGTACAAATTGTGGATGTGAAAGAGATTATAACAACCAGGTATTTAGTGAGACAGTAAAATGCCATGTTACAGAACAGTTAAGTCAGTAAAGGGACTGGCTATGGGCTGGATGAATAGGGTTTGTTTCCTGCCACACGTTATTATGCTCTTCTCCGTTGCAATGTTCCTGTGGAGTTGTACTGTGTGTTCCTTTCTGGGGCAATGTGACTAGAATGTGATACTAACCACTAATCTCCAAGTAATGAAAAGCTTAGTAATTCATGGAGATTTACCTCCACATCCTTAAGTACAGGGATCACAAGTTTATGGTCTCCTGGGATGTTGCGCAGTGTAGTTTCATAGTAAGGTTCCTGTGAAATGTTGGTGCTTATCTGTCAGACTGCACTTTGTCATGTTTCAGAAGACAGTAATGTTATTACTTATGGCCAGGTGAACCTCAAATCGTTTGACAGGGGTTTCAACTTTATCCTTAAGCTTTTATACAGTGAAATCTCAGTGTTACATATTTCTCTGCTTATTAATATTTCTTCTCAGCAGTAAAAATGCTTATACTGAAATGATAGGCTGCATACAAATACTAAGCAAGTTCATTTAGTTGTAATACTATTGACATGTATTCAGGAGATCCCAAGTTTGAATTTTGACTGGGACACCAGCTATCATCATTGAAGTTTTTGTGGTTTTCTGCAGTACCTCTAGGCAAGTGCTGGGATAGTACCTTAATTAAGCTGTATATAAACTGTTCCTGTAACAGGCCTTGAAGGCCCATAGAGGTGTGAGACATTGAGGCTCCCACATCTTCTAGACAGTCGGTTCATTGATGGCGGTGAGGTTGTCAGCCTTACGCACCTGCAGCCCTTTACCCCCAGGAAAATTTCTGGTACGCGTTTCTGTTAGAGGCTGAGTTGACCCCAGGGCAACAGTGCGGCTGGAAGGATTGTGTCAATTGAAAAATCCAATGACCTCATCGGTCACATTTGTGGTTCTTGTGCTGGTGTTTATGAGGAATGCTGTCTTCTGGGATGTGGCACCATGTAGTGTGAAAAGTGTCTATCGATGTATGGAATAAATGTGGGGCACACAGTAATGTAGTTGGTTGAGGCACTATGCTGCAAGCTGGAAGGTTGCAGGTTCGAGTCCCAATTAGGTGGATTTCTTTCAGTTTACTTAATCTTTCCAGCTGCAATGTGGCCCTGTGGTTGACTCAACCTCTAACAGAAATGAGTACCAGGAATCTTCCTGGGGAGTAGAGAGCAGCTGGTATGTAAGGCTGACAACCTTACTGTCATCTGTGAGCCGATTGTCTAGGAAATGTGAGAGCCTCAGTGTCTCACAACCCTATAGGCCTTCACAGCTTGGTACAGGGATAGCTCTGCCCTTTCTTATGGAAATAATGTACTACCTCTGTCTTCAGAGATGCACTTCTACCCTGAAGATGGAGGCATGTTCCTCACCAAACAGTAAAGGTATACCATACTACACAACTTCACATCTCAGAAGACAGTAATGTAACTACACTTGGTCCTAAACACCAGACTTACAGGTATCCCCTTCTTCAAAGGTGCTCGTCCTGAGCAATTCCATGGTCCAGCATTCGTCGATCCATTGTTTCACATTCATTGATCTCCCATTCACTCGTTCTAGCTGGAGAGGCCGGTGCTTCTGTGTTACCGGTTCCTCCACCATGCGCTATTCCATTTTCCCGTTTCAGAGGGGGTCGACCCCTCCACAGTGTCCAGTGTCTCACCTCTCTTAATCTACTGGAAATCCAGATGGTTCCCTTCATGTCCTCTGACTCGAGAGCTTGTCCAAGGGCCTCATGTAATGTCTTCATGCTCCTAGGAATGGATTTCTTGAAGTTTCGGCTCCTTATTCAACTGTTATCCCCCAGGTGCGCTCGACGTCGCTTCCAGATTGCTCATCTTTTCTGGGATCTTGCTGCAGCATTGACCCTGTCCCTGTGTCTCCTACGCTGTGCCGCTTCTGCGCGGCAAGTCATCCTGATTCTCTCAGTGGCCTGTTCCTTGCACGGTCGACACTTTTCCTGGGTCTTCTTCGCCCTGAAGATGTCTCTCTTGAGTCATGCCACTGTTGCACGGTGGGTCAATTTCTTGTCGTTGTTCTTAGTCCTTCGAAATGTGGTGATGGAGAAGGATGGAGAAGATCAGTTGGACCGATTATGTGAGAAATGAAGAAGTGTTAATTAGAGTCAGTGAGCAGAGGAATGTCCTACACGAAATAAGAAAATGGAAGGCTAATTGGATTGGTCATATCTTACGCGTAACTGCCTTCTTAACCCGTTGCCATGGTTCGACGTGTATGTTTCGTCAGGGATTTAAATCGTCTGGGGGGGTTCGACGTGTATGTTTCATCCAGCTGCACACCTACGTTATAACGCCCATAATAATTGATGGTTTTGCTGTNTTTGCAGGAGAAAGCTCTAGATCGTATCAAGTGGAGGAACTGTTTTGGAAGAGACTGTGGACCTGTCATCTTGACAGATTACAGATGAATGAATGTTCTTAGTCTGCCATGTCACTTTCACGTGGCGGCTCGTCCCTCTTCTGGCGATGACCAGTCCTTTTCTTTGGCACCCATCCTGACACTGGGTCCTTTCATTCATCTGGCGGCGATGCTCCATGGCTAGTTTTCGGTCCTTATGCCTTTTCTTCTTCAGTTCTCTGACCAGCATTACTTTGGCATCTTCTTCGGGGACCTCTTCTTGTGCCATCTCAGGTTTTCTGTCCACTGAGGTTGGCTTTTCTTCTCCTAGACGTGCCTCCATCGTCTCTTTTCGGGTATCCTTTGTCTCAAACCACATCGAGCGGATTTCTTCTCGTCAGGCTTTCGTGTCGGCATCCACATTTTCTCGCCAGGCTTTCATATTGGCATCCATTCTTGCCAGGAAATCTTTGTCTTTCTTCCTATCAGCGTCTGCCTTTTCTTGGCCAGCTCTGATTTCCTTCAGCAGCAGTTCCATCATCTGCTGTGGCAGTATAATAGTCAGTGCACTCGTAAGTTCAGTTATTCGTCAAGGCATGTTCAAGTTTGTAAACAATTCTGACATCAATTTGTCATGTGTTGGGTATGTGATGCGACAAATAACCTCACGCCATTTAGGATCTAGTGAATTTGTTCCACACTTGCTCTTACACTTACACAATTAAGGTGTCCCAGTTACTGCCATCTGCAGTATCACAGTTACTTCCTGGGTTCAACTGTCTTAAATCTATTCACCTGATACAGCTTAACAACAACTCGTGGCTGCTGCCTTCCACTGCACTTGGCGACTGCTAGACTTCCACGGGTCTTCTGTCTGGCTTCACAATCCTCACTGGCTCACACACCACTCAGCTGGCCTCTTTTACTGTTCCCTGTTGCCCTGTGGTAACAGCAATGTCCCCTGTTATGTCACAATGGGAAGTGGTGTTGACTGGCCTGTTACTGTAGCAGCGGCAGCGGCTCCTATGCTGTTATGTCACTGCAGGGGGGGAGTTTACTGAGCGTTACGTAATGATGGAAGGAGTGGGGCAGATGACATCACTCGCAGAAACACAGAGTTCATGTGACCCATACTTCCTGTTGCGCCATCCATGTTACATTATGAATGACATGAGAACTAATTCCTGTAAACAGTCAAGTTCTTCTTGGAAGAATAGCTCATGAACTATTATTGTAGGGAGATGTGCTGCAAGGTTGGCAGCTACCATGAGTCACCCATTCAGTGGTAGAATGCCTATGTTTACATTCAAATTTGTCTCTGTGATTTCTTGGTTATTTCAAGGTTTGAGTGTTTTGACTTAAGAAAACTGTACATACAACTGAGGCTTTGGATCTACAGTTCATAAGTCGAGGATCAAGAGTTTGCATTATGTTGAAATACGTAGGTCATACTGAAAGTCATGAGCAACAGTTTTTTGTAAAGTAACATGCTTTATTATTGACAAACCAAATACACCAGAAGGGGAATTTTCAAACTCCCTGAACACTGGGAGAAATGTGTACAAAGAAGTGGCGATTATGTGGAAAAATAAAGAAAGCTCTATAGATTGAGGTGGTGTATTTGGTTTGTCAATAATAAAGCATGTTACTTTACAAAAAATTGTTGCTCATGACTTTCAGTACGACCCTAGTATGCTGTAGTAAGATTTCAGTGTAATGTGTAAATCATCATCACTGGTATATTTTGGTTTGTTCTTTAATATGTTAGATTGAAAACCTTCTGCTGGGAACAGATGGGAGCATCAAACTGTGTGACTTTGGTAGTGCTACAACACAATGTTTCCAACCCGATCCAGCTTGGTCTGCTAACCAGAGGGCACTGTTAGAAGAAGAGGTAAATATTCAAACATATCTTCTGATATACCGTGTGTTTCATTAACACTATACTATGGCAACCCTGTTTAATTTACATAGATATAATGTTTTCATTTATGTTCAATTTAATGATCCCATGTCAGTAATCTCAGTGTTAATTTACCTCCATTTTGGATTTTAGTGAGTATAGCAGATCCACTGCTTGTTACAGAAACCTTAACTGGGGATTTTACTGTAATATGATGTGATTGTACCCTGTTCTGATGAATATCCCAACTATTATCAGGTATCACTCACCAGCTGATAGTTTTGTGAGTTTTATCTATGGATGTTTGATCTTTGTAATTTGGTCTGCTCTGTGGTTGGTAAGTAATGCCATTGCATTCTAGGTGAGAGCAACTTCAGCTAATATGGAACTTTGTACCCTATTTTATGTTTAATAGAAATCACTGAAGCAGTTGAATGTAGAAGTAAGCTGAACCAATTCATCCACTGATTAGTAACAGCTCTTTTCAATTGTCCCAGCTGAACAGCAACCTTTTTCTCCCTTACATATGATGATGGAAACATATCCAGGTTTCAGAGTGTTATCTTCCTGGAAGTAAAGGGCTGCTGCCACAGCCCAGAAGCTTCACTTCTGTACTGTTAGTTTGATGAAGTAATGGGAAAACTGTTTTATCCCACCAGGACTCCAACTTAAACCAGTGATAACAAAATTGGAAGAGAATATTGGTCACAATTTGGGTGTGACTATAGACAGGGTTTGGGATTGAAGATTGGATTTATTGACCACTTATACACACAACTCGGGAAGTACAAGCAATTATAGCACCACCACTAATTTCCACAATTCACAAATCACCACAGCACTTGCTAAGCTTTTCCAGTCTGCTGTATTTTCACCAGCTGTTTCCTGGCAGTGGATTCTAACAGTGGAGATTCTTCAGCTTCAAGTGCTCATGTCATCTCTTCTCAGCCTCCCATGCAGAACTCAACTGACAACTGACTAACCTCCATGATGGCGGTCATTTCACACCAACCTTATAATCTTTTCCTCACAGGGTGGCTTTCAACTGAGCACTGTTGCAACTCACTCTTTTCGTCACAGTCACCCCTAGAGAACTCTCTCAACTGACAGCTGACAATTCTCATGACTGGATCACCCCGGTTATCTTCATTATAAGACTGAGTAGAAAACACTGTTTCCAACAGTAACTGAATTGTTGAAGGGGCATGTTTACCATGCTGCTGCATAGCAATGGCTGCTGTCTCATTGTTTGTTTTGAGGTATTTGCCTAGCAGTGTGTCTGTACGTCACAGTATTAAAGGAAAATCGATTAGAAGTAAAACTGTTGCTTTGGGAATTTTCATATGAATTATTTTCACGCCATTGATTTCACCGAGAACATTTAGCTTCTTCATGTCTAACCCTATCATCATCATCATTTCAGCATTATCATATTTTCCAGTATTAGGCTTATTGAGACCTGTTATGAATGCTACAAAATAGAAACCTTCCATTCTTTCAGAGGTCCTCTCTAACTTTTTCCACTTTTGGTTGATTCTTTAAATCCTTTTCTCTAGGAATTCTGTCATAGATCGTTCTATCAACATGTTCTTTCCAATTTGTTCTGCATTTTGAATAAATTCAGTTGTTTGTAGAGTCAGTAGCTCTCTCATTCTTTATTTCTTGTATGACATTAAGAGGTACATCCCAAAGGTCTCATGAAACATTTTTCTGCTGGTATCAGTCTTCTGTCATCAGTTCTTCTTGCTGTACGTTCTGTTGGTATAGTGACTGGGCAACAGCTGGATGACTGCCGAAGTCTTTTACGGCTACCTTTTGGGTCACTAATTCGTATTATTGCTTAATTCAGATGACCTTTGCCCCCAGTTAATCTGGATTAGTGAGGGTTTACCTTATATATCCACTCCCCTGTACAAGTTCATGGCATGATGCTTTGTTAATTGCTTGAACAACGCTGAGCTCTCTTGTGCCTAGAAACTGATAAGTTTTCAAAAATCTGATCAGTCTGTATCCACCATAAAAGGTAAACTGGTTTTTATATAGGATTTGAGGTTCTCATGGTGGTGGTTATGTGCTAATCCTATAGGTTATAATGCCGTATAGTCTGTTGAAAGTCAACCAAGATGTCAGAGGAACATTTTTCCTGCACTTTCATTGTCAGAGAATAAGCCATGGAGTTTTCTGTCTGCTTCATGATGGTTTCTTGCTTTTCTAATTCTTTGATCCTGGCCTGGCTTTCATTGGACTACTCCACATCTTGTCACAGATGATAGTACTCTTCAGACTGGTCTTTATGCTGTATCTTTCCTGCAGATGGCAAGATACACTACTCCAATGTACCGAGCCCCAGAAATGGTGGACACCTGGAGTAACCACGCAATAACTACAGCATCAGATGCGTGGGCGCTGGGTTGCATCATGTACACGCTCTGCTACATGAAACATCCATTTGAAGATTCAGCGAAGCTGAGGATATTAAACGGGAATTACACAATTCCACCTGGCGATTTGAAATATTCCTGTTATCATGACATTATTCGTAAGTGTATATCTGAGGTATGATTGCTCATTAAATAAATTTAATATAAAGTGTAGTGTGTGTAGGAAGAGAGTAATAACAAACCACTGTGTGAAGTTAGGTCCAGTGATTGAAAGTAGCTCTGTCTAATGGTCCTGACCACTTTTCTCCTGACTTTTACACCTGAGGAAGGAAATTGATCCAGTTTCTGAAGCTTAGGCTATGCAAAGCACTGCAGTGTGAACTCATTCACTCATGGAGCTGAGCCCTTCCTGAGAAGCCGCCAGTTCTGCAGCTGCTCAAGAACTTCACAGCATTTTATGGAACCCGAAGGTTCATTACCATGTTCACAAGATCCAGCCATTGGTCCCTATTCTGAGCCTAATTAATTCACACCATGCCACCCCATCCCATTTCTCTCAGATCCATTGTAATATTATCCTGCCACCTTCATCTGGCTCTTCTCTAAAAAAAGTAGCTTTTTCAATCCTTGATTATGCTTATTTTCTAGTGATCTGTCATTATCGCATGCTTTTTAGTATGTCAGATTTTTATCTTAAAATTTGGCTTGGTTTTATGTTAGATTAAACTAAGTCTGATGAAGCAAATGATCAGTTTAGGATAATACACAACCATAAATCTGTGGGTTGCATAGGAATCTAGGATTGTTAGGGTAATGAAATCCCAGAGACTACAATTGAAGGGTAATCTTGGGAAAAATAAGAAGTAGATAGGATAATATCAATACATTTGTTCCTGTGAGTGAGTTTTATCACACGCAGGTGTTTTGTCTGAACTGCTGTAGAGGGCCAATTCGGAAGGGCTCTGACATCTGTGCATTACACTCATGTATGTTGTCTGGTAGTCTGAGAAATAGAAATGCACCATTTAGGGACTTAGAGCTGTTCCTGCCCTCAAATGAGTGATACCTGTTGTGGTGGGTCCAACAAAAAGAGCCAACCTCAGTCGCTGGATACATAGTAGAGTTTGATTGTTTGAGGCTGCACTTTAACAAGGTCAGCATTTTTCCACCTCAAAAGCACTTTGGAGAAGTAGTTTTCTTCCCTGCCACAAGATGTTGGAAGTAGCTACCTTTTTGTGATTTCTTGGACTTGCATGGATTGGTTTCTGTTCAGTTCTTCTTCATGAAGTAGCACATGCTGCCAAAAATGGCAAGCTAGGTGATAAACTGTCATCTGAGGTGCTGCGAGTGGAAGTGGTAATTTGCGTCCATTGTTTATCTTCTGTCAAAGTTGCAACACTTTTACATTCTACACTTCAACACTGCATGTTTCAGCCTCAAATGGCAATCTTCAGGTGTTACAGATATTTTACTAAAACTGCTACACTGTTTTAATTCGTGTTGAAATCACACACTGTAGTCTTCTTACGTAAAACAAGATAAAATCCTTTAAGGTAAGTTGGCTCTAGGGAAGCAGTTTGTGTTGAGGGGAGATTGATTTATCAAGACTGTGTTGAATAATGGGCTTTGATATTAGTACTGTTGAACCTTCAGATTCTGTTACCATAGTGTTAGTTTTTTTGTAACACATCACTTGATACTGGTATTTAAAAATATGCATTTTTGATGGCTCTACATTTGTCTTATATCATTACATTTATTTTGGTGTTATTTTAGGTGGTTGCTTACAAGTGAATCCAGCTCAACGCATGACAGTGGCTGATATACTGGAAAGACTTGCTGCTGTTGCTGAAACAAGAAATATAAATTTAAAAGAACCTTTGGTCCTGGAAGGCAAACGTATTGATTCCTCTTCTAGTCCAGGTTTGTAAATAGGATTTTGGTGTTGCTTAATATTGTTACATGTTAATGACGAAATGGGGTTCGTATTAATAACTGGATTTATTGAACTCTTATGAATCGTAATGATAGCACTCAGTAGTAATTCATTCAGTTGACTTCTCACTACAGCACACACTAAGTCTTTGCAGTCTGTCTTCACTGGCCATTGCAAGGTTACAGTTCCCAACAATGTGGATTCTTCATCTTCAGTGTTCACTTCCTAATCAGAAATCAGAATCACCGATCTTTAGGTTTGCAAACGTCATAACATGTGTATTATGGTACAGATTCTGACTTGGTTTGTGTCTTCATTGCAGCGCATACTGTAAACGAGCCACCAACTGCCACACATGACAACATGAATTCTTCCAATGCTGTGCATCATCCACCTCCACGGCCACCCCCCGCTAGGCCACACTCAGCCCCAGATACTCATCCAGAGGCTCCCGGCAGACCCTCTCAACCTCCATCTCGACCGTCACCTCTTCCACCTAAACATTCGCCTCTCCACCAGTCTCCATCACAGTCTCACCAGCATTCACATCACCAGTCTAGATCTCAGCAGGGCATGCCAGCGACAGCTCAAGTTGGTGGCAGTGGCGGTGGTTTGTTTTCATCTCTCAGGGGTGGAGCAGGAAATTTTTTGAAGAACCTGAAAGACACTACCGGGAAAGTTATGCAGACAGTACAACAGTGGGTATTATGTTGAAGAAATATCACTGTTAGTCTGTGTCTAAGATGTCTGAGGTTGCATCATCATGACAAGTATACTAGATTCTTATGAGGTCTTCTCGGGTTACAAGCTGTATCATGTGCAGTTGGCAGCCAGCATTTCAGAGATTGCCTCTGTCTCTGGAATGCCAGGCACAGTGATGTGGCTGATTGCACGAAAAGACTTCATTCTGTATTGTTACCATGAAAGCCCGAAATCATATGTTTACTGTATTCTGTTTTCAAAATACGATGGCAATTGACATATTGGAGACTCTGAACAGTCAGGAATTCTTCCACAAGGTTGTCTTCTCAAGATGTGATGTGGCCTCACATATGTTTTTAACAAAGACTAGCATGATGTCTGATTTGTGTAACTCATGAAGAATGCCGTCTTCTGAGTTGTGGCACTGTGTAGATCTTGTGTGAACCAACGTTTCAGAGGAACGTATCCCTCCATCTTCTGCAGACTGCAGTCTGCAGCCACCTGCTCATACTAGTTACTCACTCATGGATTTTTATACCCTGAAGATGGAGGTGATATGTTCCTCCGAAATGTCTGTTCACACAATAACTACACGGCACCACATCCCAGAAGATGGCAATCTTCATAGTTGCCACTGTGAAAGCCTCAAAACTTACATTTGTAACTTGTGCTTGTCTGTATACATGGACTGACTGTCCTGTCCATCTCAGGCTAGAAAAATACTGTTGCCCTGAAGGTTGAGGTGGCAGGCTTTTCCCTGAATACAGGTAACTGTCTACCAGATCAGATTACACTCCCACATCACAGAAGGCAATAATTGTCATGTTCACTCCAGTAATAACCTCAAATCTCACATGTTACTGCATACCCATTCCATTGCTTTGGTTGTTCGTGGTCAGCATTCAGAGTTGGAGTGCTTTTGCTGTGTTCAGCTTTATGATATTGTCGCGTATCGGGCGTATATTGCGACGAATAACTTCACGCCGTATTTTGTATAGCGAATTTTATTTCNCTCAAGAGCATGACACCGAAAATCATCACTTGACATCATAGCATTTGGATATATAACTGAGCTGAGCACAGGTCATAATTCATTCCGTCATTTCAAAGCAGGTTCAGTGTCCACTGTGGAGGTGAAGGAACTGTTTACATAAAGGAAAAGCAGTGGAATGAGGATAGGACAGACAAATGAAATGGATGGGAAATCAATATGAAAGAAAGGACAAAGGGAGATAAAGGTAGAAAAGAAATAAAGGAAAGGGAGAACAGGGATGAGAAACCTGTTTAATCTTGAAGAAGAGGAAGGAATGAAGAGAGAAATGATTGACAGTAGGATGAGCAAACAAAATGGATGAAGGAAAATGTGAAAGAAACAGTTTTACCCAACATCTTTTATAGATATGAAAAGATATAATTTGGGACAGTCACACAACATAATCAAAAAGAAACAAAATAGACACTGCTGTGTGAACATTTGTTTTTATTCATTGTTGATGGTATTGCTACATGTTTGAACCCTTTTCTTGGGTCATCATCAGCCATGCATGAATATTATTTAGCTCCCGAATTGTCATTAATCAGCATGAATTCATATTGTGTCTGTATGGTTATTCTTTATTCTTTGTTATTCCTTTTATTATCTTTCATAGATCATTCACTAGTATTAAACAGTACCATACTTATGGTACATAAGTGCCGTGGCACAAAATGTAATTGTTGTTGAATTGACTAAAGTGATTTGTATAATATTTACATCAAGAAATTTGTATACATATAATGGATGAAAATCAGTGCAACAGGACGCTAAAATATAACATTAAGAAATTTGTAAATAAGGAGTCAGCATATTTTCTTTACTTTGCTTTGTCCAGGAGCATTGCACGCTCAGACCTCGACATTAGTTACATTACATCTCGTCTTGCTGTGATGCCATTCCCTGCAGAGGGCCTCGAATCTGCTTACCGTGCCAATCATATAGATGATGTTCGTGCTCTTCTAGAATCCAGGCATCCAGGTATGCAACTCTCTCTTGGATTATTTATTTTGTAAGGAAAGCTAGGGTAGTGGTATCATGTTTGCCTCTATATCCCTCCCCTGAAACTTTCAAACCAGTGGATAGATTTTCATGACATTTGATGCGAGTTGCATAGCATTGGAAGTAAAATGTGTGCGGAATTCCTTTTGTTTAATTAATTAAGTACCACACCATGAAGGCATGTGAGTTGGGATAATGCAGTCAGTATAGTGACTGGCTGTAGGCTAGACAGGGTCGAAGTTGATCTTTGTGATAAATGTTTGGGATATGCTAGTAATTTTGTTCTTCTTTTCTCGTTAAAAGTACTGAGGTTGCATTCCCAGTTTTGATTGATGTTAGTCTCAATCGAGAAATAGAGCAAGGTGCTTACCCTTTCAGGATCAACCTGAAATACCTTTGCTTCTATCTGCCATGGGCCAATCCCACATATGCTCATTTCTAATCACTTTTATCTTCACACTGGTGCCGAATGCACCCATGTTACATGTTCCTTTAACATGTTTGTTCTCATGCTGGTTAAAATAAGGTTAAGATGAAGAATGCAGAGTGTAAAATATTTTCAAGGGTTGAGCATCATCAGGGAGTGGCATAGAAACTTTCTGTATTCTACTTTAAGCATACTGTGGGAATCAAAATTACCATATTGGAGATTTTGTTGAACATACTGGTGGCATAGTGGTTGAGGGGCTATGCTACAAGTCGGAAGGTCGTGGGTTCAAGTCCCAATAAGGTCATTTGATTTTTTCTAGTTGACCTAATCCTTCCAGCTGCACTAGGCCCTGGGGTTTACTCAGCCTCTAACAGAAATGAGTACCAGGAATTAATTAAATAATTTTCCTGGGGAGTAAAGCGCGGCCGGTGTGTAAGGCTGACAACCTTACCGCCATCTTTGAGCCGATCGTCTAGATAGTGTGGGACCCTCAACGTCTCACAACCCTATGGGCCTTCACGGCCTGGTACAGGGATAGCTTTACTTTTTTTTTTTTTACTTTTACTAGACTTTTCATCCACAGTTCTGCCTATTGAGGGCACAATGCATCCTCAAGGATGTTTCAGATGAATTACAGTAAACCTCTTTTTCTAAGCAAAATCAAGAGGCTAACAAAAAGAAGAGTAATGATTTAAATGTATTCATTCAAAAATCTGGTATGCAGGATATATCAGTGCTTGCAAAATATAGGGGCGAGGGGTTAAAACAGTGACATTCGTGCATGTGCATACTTGAAATTGGAACAAAATGTCCTTGTGTGCTTAGTAAACTAAAGCAATAGTAAGATTTCTTGATCTCTTGAAGTTTGAATTATGAAGATTTGTGTGAGTTAATGAAAATATAAAACCACAATATGATATTTATATAAAATAAGTATCAAATGTAAGATTTGAGGTTTTCACAGCAGTGAATATGAAGAATGCTGTCTTCTGGGATGTGGCACCATGTAGATCTTGTGTGAACCGACGTTTGGCAGGAAGAAGATGGAGACAGAGGCGATACGTTCCTCTGAAACGTCGGTTCACACAAGATGTACGTGGCGCCACATCCCAGAAGGAAACATTCTTCACATATCGTGCTTTGCCAATGTTTCAGGAGGTCGGTACGCCATCTACAATGCATCTGGTCGATCATACACGTCAGGAAGGCTGGGTGGTGGGAGAGTGGTGGATTGTGGATGGAGTATAGCACAGGGCGTGTCTGCGGGGAATATAGTACGACATGCACCTCCACTTCATACTCTATATAGTATTTGCAATGACATGTATGACTTCTTACAGCAAGATCCTAAGAATGTCTGCATTGTACATTGTATGGTAGGTATATTTAAAATTACTGCTAATGCAGCACTTGTGTTAACGTTTTGTTGGCATTTGATACTGTCAACTGTGCCTTTATCACGTTAAAAATTAACTTCTACATTAAACATTACCTAGAGTTTTATTCTGTTAATTTTTGGTTTGCTGGTCATTGTAGCCGTTTGATCTAAGGCATCTTCTATCTTAGCTCGCTCGGAAGCCAGGATCATGGGTTTGAATCCCACACAAGGCATGGATGTTTGGTATGTGTATGTCTTTATTCTGTGATTAGGTAGAGGCCTTGTGATGGGCTGATCACTCATCCAAGGAGTCTTACCATCTGTAAAATGATCATGCAACTGAAAATCAGAGGTCGGCCCAAAGGGGCTGTAGAACCAGTGAGAAAAAAATTGGTTTCAGATATCATTACATTGTATGACACTGAATGATAAGATTAGTGTAAAATAAATTGGTAAGAATATGGAACAAAATTGTCTTGGTCTAATGTATGGTGGAACCCTCATTATTTTTATTCATTAGCTATTTCCACTTTTGTTCAAAGCCATTGCTCCCCAAGGAAGCCTTATATGGGGGTTTCTCTGTATCTTCCTATGATTTACTATAAAGAACTGGGTAAAACTTACAATAGCCAGCCTGTGTGCTGATACTCAGGACATCACAAGTATGAGGCAAGTATGCTAACAATTTGGCCATGACAATGGTGTATAGTATTTCATTCTGTAGGACATATATTACTGAGCATGTTTCTGTAGCAGTGACACTCTGTACTTGAATTTTGATGGTGCTTGGTTCGATTCTTAGCCAAGACACTGGCTGTCTCAGTATGATTTTTTTGGTTTGGCAGTCTCTCCAGGCAAATGCCAGGACACTACCTTGATTAAGTCAGGACTACTTTCTTCCAGATCCTTTCCAGTTCATTATTTACCATTCTTACCATTCAACACTGTGCATGTAGTGTAAGATACTAGCAGTACCCCAAGTTCAGTTTGACTTTTTTCGTGATTGATTCAGTTTCCGTGCATACGAATCTGAACTCTGGGCTTTCAGGCATGGAGTAATTCAGGAGTCATGCAACTCTGATGGCTTTATTAATTTGTTAATGTGATGTGGTCTTATGTGAGGCAACAGGATTAAGCTGTAACTCCTACCCACCTCCCACACTCACACATACACATGCCCATATGTTTTGTACGCAGAGTTAGCTCACATATGAACACACATTATGCCTAAGAATGTAGTGATATAACTAGCTGCACTTGTGAAGAAAATGCCATTGGTGCCAGGCCAATTGTCCCGTAGTACCATCATAGGGGATGGGTGGTGTGAACTATTGCACACATGGTTATATTCCAGCACCCTGTCATGTATTGCTAAATGCTAGTTTGCTTAACTTTTCAATCACTGTGTTTTCATATACAAGTAACATTTCTGATAAGCCAGTTTTGTCTGAGTATAAGTGGAAAGGGTCAGTGACTTATTTTTAGCCTGCTTCTCTTCATGAAAGACAAGGACACATAGGAATATAAGTGCACCATTCTGCCTGCGTATGCCTGCATTTCAAATTTTGAAACACCTGATCAGTCTTAAAGAAACTTAGTATGGGAATTATGCCATCTGATGCCACCTGAGCACTGTATCTTGTAATTTCCCACACTTAATAATAACAAAATGGCAAACACTCGCAAGTGTGAGGCTAGAGTGGCAGTGGTCATATTTAGTTTATGGTCCCAAAATTATGTACCATAGTAGATCTTGGACAAAATATGCAGCTCTTGTTTGTAGACTGTAAAATAGCAACATAGCAGCAATGCAGATATTCTCTTCAGTGTTTGCTACTTCTAATATATACATATAAAAGTGTAACTTCTCTCTCAGTGCTCAGCACACTTGCCATATTTGTTTTAATGACATTGCCTCTTCCCACTGGACAGAAGCACACTCTGCGTCTCCACTCAAACTTCACTATGCGGCTTATATATCAGCTGTCACCCCTTCCATTGGATAGCACCGCACTCCATACGCCCACCCTTACTCCCACTGTCAGATCTACATAGTGGACTGCATTCTGCTCCTGCCATATTCTCCCTGAAAAGACAGACTGAAATATTGGAACGTCACTACTTGGCACAGCTAACCCTCAAGCACCAAGATTAAATATATAGTATGTAAGTTAAGAAACAAAAGAATAAATCTATCTCTGTAACAGGATGTGGAAGCCCGTAGGGTCATGAGACATCAAGGCTTCCACATTTTCTAGACAGTTGGATCACAGATGGCAGTGATATCAGCCTGACACACTGTCCACCCTTTACTGCTCCAGGAAGATCCCTGGTACTCATTTCTGTTAGAGGCTGAATTGACCCCAGGGCCATAGTGCAGCTGGAAGGATTAGGTCAATTGAAAAATCCAGTGACCTCATCAGGAATTAAACCTTCGACCTTCAGACTTGTAGCATAATGCCTGTACCAACTATGCTACCATGCGCCCCCATCTCATATGTACTCCAAATAATGAATGTTAACTTTGTTCTCTGAAGGATGGAAAGGCCACATCTGCAACCCTGGTTTGTGCATTCCTGATGTTTGTAAACATGTTCAACAAGCCTGAAGATGCAGCACAGATGTTTGCAGTTAAGCGTATGCCTCCAGGACTCCACCCTTCAGAAATGAGGTGAGGGACACCGTAAGGTGTTGTAGCGTGTGGTCAAGTCTTCTTCTGCTTCTGCCATCATTTCCATAGAACTGCTCACACAAAGATTGTTTTATTAACAGTTCCTACTAGACATGACTTAGAAGGTGCTAACAGCAGTATTAATAATGAGATTACCAAATATAATAGAAGATTAATTAAATTGGGTAAACTGTTCTCTCATCTTAGTGTTCTTGAAATAGATGAAAATAGCCATTATTATACTAAACATGGGTTTCACTTGAATGGCTGAGGAAAAAAGATGGTTTCTCTTAATTTGGCTCATCTTATTTTTTTCACTTTTAAAAAAGGCAAGTAATTCGAGCAACAATATTATACCAGTTGGCTATTATGGGTTTCAAGCCCAGTTAATTAGTCATTCGTCTGCTGCCAGTTATACTTTACCATAGAATACTGATGAAGGTAACAAGAGTAAACGTATTAGAAAAAAGCCTGTAACAAAAACAGATGATTTTTTATGGGAAAGTTAAACCAAAGTAGTATTTTTAGTAACCAAGATTATTGTAATTTATCACACTTAAATAGATTGAATGGTAAAAGTGGTAAATCATGTGTCTCAATAAATTTTTTAAATATCTACCATCAGAATATCTGTGATTTGAAATCTAAAATCAATGAACTGCTAAATTTCTTATACCCTGAGCTACCACATATCGTTTGTATTAGCGAGCACCATCTAAAGAATGCCGAAATGTACAGCACTGTAATGGAAAATTACGTGGTTGAGGCCAGTTTTTGTAGAAATAATGCTATGAAAGGTGGAGCATGTATATTTGTTCTCAACTACATAAAATTTGTTGCTGTAAATCTTGATACATATTGTGTAGAATTTGATATAGAACTTTGTGCAGTAAAAATTCGACATGAACCATCATATGTTTATATTTTATCTGTTTACAGAGCCCCCTCCGGTAATTTTAGTAATTTTATACTCAAAATGGATGAGGTGCTCAAATCATTATACACATCAAAAACTGAATTAATTATATGTGGTGATTTTAATATTGATTACCTCACTGATAATCATAAAAGAATCATCTCATTTCCCTATTAAACTCTTACAATCTCTTTAGTACTGTTAACTTCCCTACTAGAATAAATTCTACTACTAAAACTACTTCTAAATCAACTATCGATAATATATTTATTGATTACTCCAGAATGTGAAAATTTGAATTATTGCGTATGTATAATGGTATGTCTGATCATGATGCGCAATTAATATTGATCCATGATATTACTGTGCCCCCTCATGTTAAATGTTTATGAATGATAAGAAAAACTGACAAATATTCCTTGTTAAATTTTAATTATAATCTTAGTAATGAACTTTGGAATGAAGTATTTGATAATAATGAAGTGAACGATGTTTACAACACGTTCTTACACATTTTCTTAAGACACTTTTGTAATACTTATTTTGGCTTATTTTGGACTTCATCCATCGTCTAGTATGTAAAAGACAAAAGACCACGACTTTTGTAATAGTTTTCCCAAATGTCTTACTAGACCTCCTACTAATACTAATGTATGGATATCATCTAGTATAAAAACTAAATGTAGCGTAAAAAGACATTTGTATTTAAGCTGTAAGGAGAGTAATAACCCTCATATACAAAGTTACTATAAGCTATAGCGGCCTCCCTAGTGTAGAGGTAACATTCCCACCTCATGACTTGTAGTACGCAGGTTCAAATACCCGGCGGAGGTCGTCAAATTTTTAAGGGCGGAAAAATTCAGGGAACAAGTCCTCCGTGAGGGACATTA